GTGCTACTGCCAGCCACAAAAACTATAATATTCCTTGTTATCTGATTAACCAACTAATTTTTGGTCATTGCCCAATACTCTTTTCTAAGACAGACCCCATGGCGGCCTTTTTTTTTTTTTTTTTTTTCACCCTGCTCAGAAGAGCATCCTGGATCTGGCAACATCCCACACAGAAACTCTCTCTGAGAGGCAAGTGAGCAAGATCAGGAACAAGTGCCATGTGAGCGTAGGTCGGATGGGCGGAAGGCAGAGATGCACTTTTCTCAGCTCATGGTTTGGTTCATCCAGCCCAACACTTGAGTGATCCTGGTGTATACTCCATAGTGATTTGGACGTGCGCATCCCATTCCCCAGCTGACCAAACCAGCCAGAAACCACCTGCCACTGGGTTCCTTGCAGGCCAGCGGACCTCCAGAATCACCCTAGAGAAAGGGAAAGAAAAATGGGGCGATGGTGATCCACCAGCTTCTTGTGCTGGATGATTGCACTATCTTGGAGTCCCTCTATATCCAGATTCCTGTATCCCAACTCATGCCTGGGACATCTGCAACATCCCTTGTACCTTAGACAGATGTCAAAAACAGTCTCCAGTGCAAACATCTGACCTGTTGTTGCATTCCTTCATCATACAAGCTCCTTCCCCTTAGCCAACTCTCAAGAAGTTGAGAGCTCCATTGTTTCCTTCTGGTCTGTGTGGCATTTCCAAATATATGTGGAGAGCAAGGAAGCTGGTGGGATTTAACTGGATACCCAAAGGTATGGGAGACAGAGGGATTTCTTAAAATTGATAGTAATGAAGGAACAGACAGGTTACTGTGTATGACAGATGCTAATGAGGCTGAGGGGGGAACAGACTGATGTAGACTTGGAAGTGGGAGGTAAAGAGTGGAGAAAGGGCTGAAATGAGAAAAGGATTTTAAGTGTGTATAGATCCTGTCTAAGGCAAAGATGCTGGGAAGAAGTAGCCCTCTGTTGTTGGCCACTTAGACCAGAGGAAGGATTGGGGGAGTCAGGCATTTTATGGTCTTTTCACCCTCATTTCAGGCCATGAAGCGTATTTGGGAGACTTGGGACACACCCCATCTCCAGTAGTCAGCCTTGATCCCACAACTCCTCTGTTACCTGGCAGGCATCTTTCTTGCCCTTGTGGTACCCAGCACACAGCATCCTGGGAGAAATCATGTAATGATAGGCTTCACTGCAGATATCCTGCTGGATGAGCTGCACGTCCACCTTCTGCAGAACGTTGCTGATGTGCCCTGAGTGGTAGAGCACCGAAAGCAGTGCAGGTGAGCAATGGTGGAGTTTCCCACTGTTTACTGTGATCCCCAAGTCCATGCCCATCTCACTGCATGCTGAAAGTTGCCATCTGATTTCCTGTTCTGTTCTCCACTGGCATCACAGTCTCTGACTTTCAGCAGAGCACTTCACCTGCATGGAAGCAGTAACATTCCCCTGCAGTCCCTTTTGCTTCAGGGATATGTGGTGGGCACTTCATCTTTTGGGAAAAGGGTGATTCTGGTTTGGGGAAACCTCTGAGATGTCAGAGTTTTTGATTAACTTCTCATTGAAGTGGTTGTTAAATTCTTCTTGCTAAGTATGCGAACAAAGTGTCCACTTCTGGATAGACACCTGAGTGCTTCCATTTAGGAAACAAAGCTGACCTGTGTGAGTACATCTATATTCCGGTGCCAGGCACTACTAGAGAACAGACTTGACCTGTATGTTGGTCCCATGTGGAGGGAACACAAGGGATCATGCCCCTGCAGCTAAACTCTTCCTCACAATACAGAATGGGCTCATCCATACCACCCCATGGGAACAGGTCTTGGCCCATGCTTCCCTGAGCAGTGTGTGGGCACTATGGGGCCAAAATGGTACCGGGGACAAGCTAACAATTACACAGTGTGATCCTTGGGGGACAGCACTCATACCTTGCACTGCTCCCATTGAATTTACTGGTACAGGTGTTGCTGGGGGGACCCAGGTACAGGGTCTTTGACATGGGAAAAATGTTGCTGCAGGCACCACAAACAGGTGTCTCCAGGAGACCCAGTTCTGATCTCATGAAGGGCAGTTTTTCATCTCTACTCTCTCTGGTCAGGCTCTGTTCCTGGAGAATGACCCAACAGGAGCCCACATGTCTGTGTACTCATGGGGTTGGGCTTCAGGACTGGGGCTTCATGCTGTGACCACAGCTGAATAGCCCCTTGTCAGATCCCTAATTCCTGAAGGACTATTCTAGTCTTTGGATGAAGGAACACATGCAGTGCCCATATAGCTTACCAGACTCTCATGCCGGCCTCTCCAAATGAGGTCAAGGCACTTGACAAGTAACTTTGGCCAACCTGTGACCCCAAATCCAAGGGCGTGAAGAAGTCATTATGCTTTGGGGTGAACAGAAGTCTGTTCTGCCTACCCCACGCCTAAACCTATGTTTCCATCTTGGCTCTGTTTCAGTAAGCCACGAGCAAAGACCTTGCACCTACCGCCTTCCTTAAGGGCTCCCCAGCCAGTGATCCAGCAATGAAGGCCAGGCTCAAAGAGGTGAGAAGGGGCAGGCAAGCAGATGGGCTGGATTAAGGGTGAGATGATCACAGGATGGTCCAGCTGGAGCAGGGCCACATCATAATCATGGCTGTCCTCCTCGTAATAAGGGTGGAGGAAGAGGCGGATCACTTTGAAGGATACCTCTGTATGGCTGGTGGCATTTTGCAAATGTTTGCCCAAGTAAACGGTCCAGATGGAGGCAGAGGCCAGTCTGTAGGATGCAACAAAGAAGCTAACTCATTACCTGAACAGAGAAGGATGGGCAGAACCTGGCTGCTTCTGTTGTGGTCTTTTGAAGAGTATCTGATATGGATTATCATCTCCCTCAGAGGGGCCTCTTTTAAAATTTGTCTACTGATTTCAAGAAACTAGTTGGGACATCTCTTTGATGCCTTGATGTGTTTGTACAGTGGCGCCGGTTTTGGGCAGACACTCCTACACACAAGCGATTCGCTCATATTTGCTTACTTTTCTTAGCAAAGCAGGCTAAAAGGTGTACGTAGGTTAGACAAGCAAGTGGGGCTAGTCATGTGCAAGTGACTGTGACAGGGCAGAGAACAAGAGCTGAGCTGGTGAAGCAAAGCTGCAAGGAGAAGGACACATGGAGAAAGGGAGCAAGCTCTGAGAAACTGCTAAGAGGCAGTGAAGCAAGAAAAGCAGCTCAGAGGTGAGGGCATTAAAAGGCATGACAGCCCTTTACAGAAACTACTCTTTCCCCCCCCTACTTCTTATCTCTCACCCCACTTAAATTCTCTCCCTAAATGCACGTGCATACACATATACCACCTAACAGGGATGTGCTATCTCCATCTATCCTGCATTGAGACTCTCTAAGATGGCCAAATTCAGCCTGCAAGGACTGCTCAAAAGGCCGGCCCCAATGCTGCTGTGTTATAGGACTGAAGTAGGAATTTGGCAGGACCAGGATGAGATGAGGTGAAGTGAGAAGCAGAGCTGCAAAGCAACCCCAGCTCTACCAAGGTTGGTGTCATCATAGGAGAATGTCCTCTCCGAGCTCACATGGCAACAGAAGGGAAGGGCAGCTGGGGAATTCCAGCAGCAGTAGCTGGGAAGGTGGGGGATCCCCACCATCTCAATGGTAAAGGAAAAGGGGAGTTTGGAGGAGGTGGAGACTGGGTCTGAGTGTTCACATTCCTTCCCTGACCCAGCCCTGCTGCCCAGCACAGCAATGGACCTTCCTCCTCCTCACTTCTTCCCAGTTTGAAAGAATGAATGAACCCTCCTGATTTGCCTGTTGCTGCCGCTGTTATGGTACGTACACTGGGTGGAAGGAACTCGGGGAGAGACTGTGCTTCCTTCTGAAAGGGCAGGCCCTGGAGGTGGCCAGCATGGGACCTAAACAGCATCGTCCACAGGTAATGCTATCCTGGCCCCATCCTACACATGCTGACACCTCCGTGGTTGTGACAACAGGAGGACAAGCCAGAGCCAAAGCAAAGGCAGAGCTGTGAAGCGTCTTCCACTACCATTGCTCTCCCAAAGCTGCTCTGTGAATCCCAGCACTGCCCCTTTTCCCTAGTGCACACACCCAAACACTAGTGCGTGGGTCCATACCAGCTCCAAGCCACCGAGAAGCAGGGCACAGGCGCCAGATGAGGGGTATGGCTGCCCTGTGACGTTTTCACAGCCGGATGATCCTCCCATCATGCATGACACGGAAAGCAACACAAATCCTTCTCCTGTCCAGCATGCCTCCCTCTCCATTTACCTCTCATCCTGGAAGCAGTGTGCAGCTGAGACCACCCAACGGTCAGCAATGAGTGTTCCCCCACAAATGTGGCGTCCCCGAACCTGCAGGCTGGCCTGCCACGGCCATTCCCCTTCCACGGAATTCGCACCACCCACGATCCTGCTGAGAGGGGCTTGCAGCCCGCAGTCTGAGAAGGAGGAAACACAGCAGGTACTTCAGGGGAGGAAGGGAACATGATATACTGCGCCTGCCCTCCCTTTCTTACTTAATTGACTGAAGAGATTGACCTCTAAGCCCTTGCCTTACCCAGCCGGCAGATGTTTTATGTACTTGCTCTCCAGGACAAGTCTAGGGAGCACTCCCTCCCAGCACGCATCTCTGCTGATGCCTGCGTGGCATCCTTCAGGGCAGTGCCCTGTCTGTGCTACCTGCTGGCCTGACGGGGAACCCTTCCAGCCGTTCCTTTTCGCTGCCCACTGAGGCTCCAGAAAAACCAAGCAGGGAAATCAAAACACAAGCTCTCTCCCTGCCAGTGACCATGCAATCAGGGGTCATTTCCCTGGCTGGAGCCTTGTGGGGTGGCATGACTTGCCATAAGCCAGCACAGTGGTCTCACAGGCAGCCTGTGGGTAGGACCTGGCCTGCGAGACATGTCTGTCTGGCCTGATGCCTCTGCCTGAAGGAGACGGGGAGCAGCTGTCCAAAGAGTAAACATCTGCTCACAGCTCAGCACAGAGAGCTGGCTCATTGCTGCTGCCACCACCACTGCAGGATGGAGCAGTAGCACTGCTGCCATGGGGCTGGGGTAGGGAGATGGTGGTGGAACAAGGGAAGGTGGGTGCTTATGCTGGGGTGGCAGTGGGAAGAAGGGTGGCTTGCAGCTACTTGGCATCCTGAATCTTCCTGGCCAACGCGCAACTGAGCATTTCCTCACCACAGTGCTTCTCATCGGACAGGTCCTTGCAGTCTGCAGTGGTGTCACACAGGGGGTTGGGTTTCTTCACACAGGTCCCATCTTCACAGCGGTAGGTAAAAGGACCACAGGGGACCCCTGAGAAGAGGAAAGGGAGCCAGGGCTAAGAGAGGGTGGCAGTTTGCAAACACAGCCTGAATTCCTTTGAGGGGGGGGGGAAAGACAACAGAGAGCTTGGGGGAACTCCGTAAACGATGACAGGGAATTTCCTGAGCAAGCTTGGTCATCTACAGAGCAAACATTGTGAGCAGGTCAGGCACATTAATTCCCAGCTGGTGCCCTTACCTCTCAAGAGGGAAGTAGGCTACTGACAGCCTTGGCTTGAGCACGGGGGAAAGTATTTGGCAGCCCAGCACCATCCTCTCCCTACCTTCACTACACTGCTCCTCATCGCTCCCGTTGACGCAGTCCAGCTGCTGGTTGCAGACCCTGCTGAACTCGATGCAAGTGCTGTCCTCGCGGCACTGGAACTTGGCAGGACACACTGTGCGGGAGGGAAGCACCCAGGAATTAGGCACGCAAGGCAAGGCATCAGGTGTGAGGTCAGGTCTCCAAGTGCACCAGTAGGCTCTGCAACCGCTTCATAAAGATTTGGCAGCTTGTGCTTAAGACCAGCTCTGGTACAGTGCAAGTGTGTAGTCTTGAAACAGACTGCCATGCAGAGCAGGAGCCTGGCCCACTTTTGCTCAGGAGATGCATTTGATCTGAGGTCCTTGTTGTTGCTCTTTGCCTGATCTATCTTGTAGGTATGAGTGCACCTTGTCTTATACCTTACTGTTGCTGACTTAACTTTCCTTGATTTCTTGGCTTGGCCTCGGACCTGCCTCATCATTATTGTGCACACTGGCTCTTGGTTGACCATCCCGTGTTACCACCATCACCAGATCTGCTCTGTTTGCCTTCTTCAGGTTCTGTAGGACTGCATCCTGTCTGCTGAGATCACTGTTCCTCCTGCCTTGATGTCACCCTCAGTTCATGTGTCACCTTCATCAACAGAGCAGCTGCTCCCCTTGGTCTCTGATAGGTGAGTCCTGTGCAGCAGTGGATTCCTCAATGTCCATGAGCTCTGATAGCTGCTCAGGACGGAGAAGGACCTAAGGTGCCTACCCATAGTAGAGTACGACTTCTGATTATACATTTTCATAGTAAGAACCTGTCCTGTGTTTGTGTGTATCTATGCGTAACACAGAACATGATGGGCCAGTACCTCCTGGGCATTGTCTTTCTGCGGTGACTATAATTTCTTCAGTAATTAGCGTGAGGCTTCTGGATGACTAAAGGCACGCAAAGGTCTGAGGAAATGTGAACATTGATTTTAAAGACAGGGACTGTTCTATGCAGACATGGAGTGAATAAGCAGAAATTCAACTGTGGCAAGCATATGAGAAAGGAAGGAAATCATGCTGTTTCTATTTTCTTTTTCAAATATAAAGGGATGTTTGAAAACACGGAGAAACAAATACATTTTGTTCCGTCTTTGTGTTAACCTGTGGAACTGAATGACACAAGATATCCCTGGGGCCAAGAAACTAACAGGATTCAAGATAATATTAAATATTCTTCAGGATGCACATGTATCCATGAGGGAAGCAAGCAAGCCCTGATGTCAGGCAGCTGGATGATGGGACAGAGTGCACCATCAGCAAGACTGCAGACAATACAAAACCCAGCCTCAGCGATCCTGTGAGAGCTCTCACATTTCCAGCACTGAATTAAGACTTCCTTGAGAAAGATTTCTCCTTCCTTTTACTTTAGACTTTTCTATATCTTCCTCTGAATATTTCAGAATTGGCCACACTCTCCAGTGGTTTGGGGATCTTTCTGTCTATGAATAAACAGCTGTAGAGGACAACTAATGAAAAATTAGTGGTGGAAGCAACGTGATGAGCTTCCTTCCCCCCTCCCCCCTCACCACCTCCCCCACCAGGGATGGGAAAACAGATTAATTAGGTGTCATGCCAAAGCCTGAGTAGCTCTTCCTATGAGAATGGGGCATTGCAGGAGTCCTGGGATGCTGAGGATGGTGTCTGCATCAGCATGAACTGCCGTTGGCATGAAGAACTGATGGCTGATGGAAGACTTAGATGCTCCCAAACTGAAGCACAATATATGGGTGAGGAACAGTACAGATCAGGTGTCACACATGGCCTGGGAGGAAAAGGGAGAGAACAGGGCAATGGGTGGGCTTGGGCAGGCGTGGGCAAGGTAGGAGGGCTGGGAAGGGGAGGCTGAGTGGTATGACAGCAGAGGGGGCTGTAGGCCAGGGCCGAGGTGGATTGTCAGGCCTGGGTGGGGGAAAGCAGAACAAGGTAGGGGACAGCCTGGGGAGGGGGCTTCTTTCAGGTTGCCTGGAGATCTTGGTGCATGAGTACTAGGGGGTTCTCCCAGGAAGACTGTGTTGGGCACAGGAGCAAGAAGCATGGCTGCTTCTTCCTGAGAAAGATGAAAGGGTGGATGCAGAGGCTTAAGCTCCTGGAGGGAAGGTACAAGGCTATATCTAGGCCAAATGAACCCTCTCCATCTCTCCCTGCCTTTGAAGGAACAAGGGGTTCCGGGAGACCAGAGACAAGTGGGGAGAAGAAATCACTCACCACAATTTCTCTCATCCAGCCCATTGGGGCAATCTTTGATCCCGTCACAGGCTGGGACGCACAGGCCATTCACTGAACACAGGAACTCCCCGGGACAGGCTGGGAAACCACCAGAGAGTAGTTAGTCCCCAGTGACTGGAAACCTCCTTGCAGTAGAGCACCGTGGCTTGAAAGTGGAGCGTGGAGCTGCACACCTTCCTGACCACACGTGTGCTGCGGCAACGTGCTGGCGGCACTCGCTGTGCTCCCCAAAATCTGCCGTGTCAGCCATTTTGAACATGGGCAAATAGAGCCAGGGTATGTACCAGCAGAAAGAGGGCTTTTCCCTGCTTCTCATTGTACCAACAGGCAAGAGCCAGGACAACCACCCACCTGGCATGTTATACCTCTGGCTTAGCACTGTTTCGTGACTCCTGAATCACAGAATCACAGAATGATATGGGGTTGGAAGGGACCTCTGGAGATCATCTAGTCCAATCCCCCTACCAAAGCAGGAGCACCTAGAGCAGGTTGCACAGGAACGTGTCCAGACAGGTTTTGAATGTCTCCAGGACACAAATGCTGCAGGAAAGCTGAAATAGGTTCTTTGGAGTGGTTATTAAAACTTGCTTGGGGCCTTGAAGGGGTTGGTGCTAAACACGTGTTGGCAGGTGCACGTATTCAGGCACTGGTATATGTCAGAGGCACCCTTTAGGAAGGAGATGGAGAAACCTTGGAAAGACAGACTGTGGGCATGCATTTACGTATCTGTGTATGCGTATTTGTGTGAGGTTTTTTGTCTCTCACTTGCACAGATTCCAAGGTAAGCAGGAAAAAGCTCTCTCTAAGAGCTCTTATAATAGAAATAAAAATCTCTTCAAGCCAGAGATAGTCTCTCATTGAATTCCCAAGGCCAGCCTGTGATGTGGGCACAGGGGTGAGACAGTAGACAACTCTTGGACCTTGGGCTTTGGCGCATAAATGCTTTGGCAACATGAGGGAGGGCCACATGTGCAGAAACAGCTTTGCAAGTAAATGTCTCTTTTTTTTGGAAGACCAGTGGTGTGTGCGTCACTGATTTGTGAGCGCATGCCCGAGGGGCAGATGGCACCTATGGCTCACAGGATGTGCCTTGTCTTTCTCCTAACACAAGCCAAGTGCACAGGGGCTGCTGGTAGCCACCACCCCTCTAAGGAGCAGGGAGGAACCTGAACTTACGGTCTGATTGGTTGTACAGGCTGTAAGCTGCCTGTACGCCGGGGCCAGTTAAGGAGATCTGTGAGGTGAAGGTGATGGTGATATCAACAGAGGAAGTGACTGGGATCCGCTCAGCGTAGGCTTGCAGGGTCCGCAGGCCACACAACCTGAGGAGCAAACACAGGTGGGATGTCATGGGAAGAGAGAGAGGAGAAGACAACAAAGTGGGGCAAGGAGGCTCAGTGGGGCTGGGGTGGGAAGGGGGCCATACAGACTAGGTGACAGGGGTGGGGGGAAGCCAGGAAGGCAAAATGCTTTCAATATAGCATGAGATCCAGAGTGACCCTACTTTTTTTGGACATTTCCCACTTTCTGAGCAAGCGCCACACAAAGCAATTCAGTTCTTACGTTTATCTTCCTGAAGAAGCCATGTTGTAGAAACTGTGGCACTGGCTGTCCAAGAGAGGAAGGCAGGGACAGAAAAATGGAAATCCTAAGCCAGGAGAACCCTTCTGGATCAATCTTTTCAGAGGAAAAGAAGTTACTCCCACAGGAGCAGTGGAGAGGAAATGAATGAGGCGGCATGCAGGAAGTTTTAGAGGAAAGGGCAATTTTGCAGTAAGTGGGAGGAAAAATAAAACCATTGGTCCATCCATCTTGGAGCTTGCTTTGAGGAGATGGAAGTGCAGCAGCTCTTGGTTCTTTGCACCTGGGCAGTGGTGAGTAGCAGCCCCAGCTACGTATGAATGCTAATTTTGGGAAGTCCCGCAGGGGGAAGTGGCTGTAGTCAAGGCAGGAAGATATGGAGCTAGGCAAAAGATCTGTACGGAGGTGGATGCAAGGCAATGGCACACACAGATAATAGTGCAGAGGTGGTGACAGGCAGATTTGCAAACACAGGAGATGTGGGAGGACACCAAGGTTACACACACAGGAGAAAACTAGGAAGCCTGGTGCAAGCAGCAAGACAGAGAAGGCAGGCTGGTAGCTCGAAGCAAATCTGTAAGAAATGTGCTCACTGGGGGGGGAGCCTGTGAACCAGAGGGGCTGAAAAAGAAGTAGAAAAGCAAGAGGCACCAGCACAAGCAGTGGCAACTGAGTGTGGTGATAGGCTCTCCTTCCTCAGACCTGGTAGCTGAAGTGAGCAGGGAACCTGCAGAGGTTTAATCCCAGGTGGGAAGTGAGAAACAGAAACCAGGACCCCAGAACACACCTTCTGTTCTGAATTATCCACTGGCCTTGGGTACAGGGCAGGTCGTGCTTCTGTCTGCTGAGTGCGTAGGCATCAAACCACAGGGTGACCCCATAGTCAAGAGACGGGACCTGCAGGCAAGGGGATCCAGAGCTGAATGGACATAGTTCCTATGAGTCCTGCAGCCCACTCCGTACAACAGAAATGAGCATGTTAGATGTCAAGGAGAGGGCTGCCAATTCACACGTGGCAGGCCAGAAGGAAGCACCATTTAAAATGGGGTGATGCTGCAGCCCATGGTGGCTCTGCTGCTGGTCTCAAAGCATGGTAATTCCTAGCATTTCCTAGCAATCTGGTTCTGCCTTGAAGAACTCCTCCAGAGAGACCATATTTCAGATTCCTCCTCAGATATGGCATCTCTGCCACAGTGTGCAAAATTAGCTTCCTTCCCCTTTAGAAACAAACACGCATTGTGTGGGGGTTAAGCAGGCTGCCGCCCTCTGCTTGCTTCTCATGATGATCTGACTGAGAGTGCTGGCTGTACCCCCTGCTAATGTGGGGAATGCTGTGTGGGCTCCAGGGAGGAGGGGGATGCTCTTGTGGGAGCTGGCTCTTACCGTCATGTGCCAGTTGCACTGCGTGTTGGGCGAGTAGTAGCTGGGGTAGTGTGGGGTGCCAATCTTCCCCTGCAGTTCCAGGTCCTCCCGCAGAGTTATATTCACTTCACAGGCTGTAAATACAGACATTCAAAGCCCAGCTACCTGTCAGCTCAACCTCAGCCTGGGGCTACCATGTACTCAGCCCGTTGTAGGAGGAGGGGAAGTGTACTCTAAGGCCTGATGCTAAAGGTGACTGGGATGTTCCGCCATACCTCTTCAAGGGGCCACTTCTACCTGGCAAGACTTTCAGCCTCCTCCTCTTGTCCAGAGAAGGGTAATGTACATTGCTGCTTTAGACTCTAATATTGACTTGACATTTATCTGCAAGTGTGTCTGGACATGATGTCCAGGCCATATCTAGTCTGTCCATGCATGAGAGCTTGGTCGTCTCTTAAAGTGTCATAATCACTCACTGTCTTCTTGCCAGAGCCTGGGCTGTAAAGACTTGAACCAGATGGTAATTTATGAGTCCAGGTGAGGGAGCAGCATCTAACCTGCTTTTTACTGACCAGCTTTACCCTTGCAATCTAGAGTGAATTCTGCTCCTAGTGGGGATGGAGCACCTCTAGGAGCTGTGATGTTGTAGGAGATAACCCATCTCTATCCTGTGTTTATGGCTGCTCTCCTCCAGCCTTCCTCACCTTTGAGGGGTACCACCTGTGCTGAGAGGATGAAGGGGTCATAGTAGCTGTACATGGCTTTCTTCCACACAATGGACATGACCGGCCCAGATGAAAGGACTTCCACAACAGGCTCCTGCCGGCTGCAGCCATAGATTCTGAGGGCAAAGAGATAAAAGAATGGGAGTGAAGTAAGTGACAAACAAATGAAAGAGAAGAACGAGAAAGAGAGAAAATGGAGGTCTGTGTTATCCACGGCACACGCCTGCTGTGAGGCACTAACTGAATCAAATCAAGGGCCAGCAGAGACACAGCTCGTGCTGCCTTAATCTCTCAGACTGCATGGCTGGCTGTGTGATATCCCACATCAGTCACGTCAGCTGATCAGCGAGAGGCAGGTTCTGCATCAAAGAGAATTTCCTCTGATGTAGTCTAACACCTTCCCCTGCTGTGGTGTGTCGTGCCATCCTGCCCGGCTTCCCCGCCGTGCTCGCCTTGCTCAGGAGCTACCTACGAGGTGATGAGGTGTTTCTCCAGGGGTCCGGCTGCATCATACATAGCCAGGCGGTCCCTGCAGTCTGGGAGAGTCCACTCCAGGCGTAGCTTGATCATGTAGCCCTCGAGGCCGTGGAGGTGCCAAAGACAACTGGAGGCCAGGTAGTCAGGACCCTCCAGCCTTAGGACATCATCCTCCTGGACATAGCTGTATCTGTAGCAACCTGAATCCAGAGGAAAGACAGAAGTATCTAAACCTCAGGGTGATGTAAATGGAGGCAAAGGGGGGCTTAGGAGTGGTTGTAAGGGAAATTTAAGATATGCGATTGTCACTTGGGATATCAGAGTGAGCCTTCTTTTGGGATGATGCTGACTCATGCTTCCTGTCCCCTGTAAATATCCCTCCCACAAAGTCACAAACTCAAAAGAAAAGGAAAAGATGGCCTACCCAATGTAGATTTCAGCACTACTATGTCTTTCACACTGGATTCTGTTAGAAAGGAAATATATAAAGAAAGATAAACAAAAAGATAAACTGGCAGCATCTGAATGCTAGCATGGCAGGTGATGACTCTCTTCCTTCCTACATAAATGGTTCCCTTAAAACTTTGGCATAGGGCACACTCCAGAGCCCACTTTGCCTGCTCTCGGGGACCTGCTTCAGTCCTGCCTTCCCTACCCCATCTCTCTGGCCTCTGCTCCAGATCCAACATCCCTGATAGATGCTTTCCAGCCCACCAAGGTCTTCTCTGCCTTTTTTCCTCACTTGTTTTTGTGTGCTATTCCAGGACACAACCACTTCCCCTTCCCAGGACAGCCTCAGGCAGCCCACCCCCCTCCTCTGCCAGCCACACCACAGGGCACAACCCCACTTCCCATAGTCTTCACTGTCTGCTTACCCCTCCCCTGCTTTCCCAGTTTAAATAACCCTCACTGAAATGCATGGGAGTCACTGAGGGTGAGGAAGGAGGTCTCTTTAGGTGACTACTGGTTGATGAGCTACTCAATTTCCTTGTAGAATTCACCTCTGGAGAAGGGAGATGCAGGGAAAGCCACCATCAAGGACTACAGATCTGTGCAAAATAGAGTGACAGCGTGGACAATGCTTTTAGGAGAGCTGGGCTTTTCTCCAGCCTCCCAGCTGAACTGGGAGTGGCCAGAGGTCAGGTGGTACTGGGAATAATGGCCAAAACAAAAGGCACGGTGAGGTCAGTTGGGTGTGAGAATTGCTGTTGGGGGCTTGCCTAGGTCAGGGCTTTGGTCTTTTGTAGTTCCTAAGCTTGCAATTCTGTGGGGAGAGCTGAGCGGTTTTGTCATGGTAAAAACAGATGTTGTGGAAAAGATGATCCTGCAGGCATAAGGCAGACCCCTAGAGAAGCTCATGTGCTGCAGGAACGGACATACAGTGAGTTGATATTAAGTTCTCTTTTATCTGAAGGTAATAAAACTGGGTTCCTGTAAGGAGAATGGTGTCCTGAAACTCTTTGGGTGAAAGGGGAAGCTAATGTCCTGGGGTGAGTGCAGCTGTCAGTGAAAATAAGGCATTGGAGACGGTGGAGAGGTTCCTGTGCTAGTCAATGGTTTGCAGCTCTGCAGCTTAAGGCAGGCTGCAGCAAAACTCAATGTTTAGAGCTAAGCACGTCAGCAAATGAGTCTTTCAGAAAGCAACAAAATGTTAATGACTTGCTATTAGCTAGCTATTTTTTCACTCCAGTTTTGCAGAGCAAATGAAAGCAGAGGTTAAGTCACTGGCTTGAGGTCACCCTGGCCCAGCAGTGTAAGAGGTTTCTGGCTTCTGCCTTAGTTGCTAGACCGTGCTTGTGACTGGGGAGGGAGGCAGAAGGGACTAGGGAAGCAGAAGGAGCTAGAGAATCTACAACTGGTGTGTTAATTCCAAAATAGAAAGAAGTGTGGTCTGCTGAAATGAATAAAACAGTGAAACAGATGCAAAGGGAATAAGAGGGAACTGAGAACAGCTAAAAAATGGCAGCATCATTTTTATTTGTTTATGAGTTACATTGTGAAGTGAGCAAATGAAGGCAAAATGGGCTGACCTGGAAGCATTTAGCATCTTGTCTTATGATATCTTTCTTAAGAGAGTTAATTTAGATTGGCTGAGCATAAGGTCTAGTATGCTGGAAACAAATCATATGTAGAAGTAAGGGACTAATGGTAACTAAGGGAGAAGATGTCTTCATGAAATGCTAATGCAGCTTCAGAGCGTGATCTTAACACAACGGTCTGGATGAGGGAGTGAAAATGATCTTGAAGAAATAAAATTTTCTCTGGGAGTACCAAAAAATGACCCTCAAAACAAAACAATTGAGATGTGGTGTGTAAAAGTAAAGACAATATGGGTGGGTTAGATTAGAATAAGATTCACCTTAGAAAAATGCAAGATAATGTGTCTGGGGAAAAAAACTTGGAGATGTAACATTTCATGGGAAGAAGAAACTTGGACATGAGTGTCCCAAAGGGAGAGAGGAAACACAATCTATTTAAAATGTTTGGGGTTCTGTAAGAGGAATCAGATCAGGTTGAGAAGTTAAGTCTCATTATAAAGACCGAATACAAATTCCATTGGACTTAGATACACTGAATATAGACACAACATCTAGTCTTTTATCTAACACTTATTTTAGAGCAATTCTGTAGGGATGGCTTTTTGAACAGGCTGTGATCTTAATTTTGGGCAATGATAAATAATCCTTAACATCATGTCAAGAACTGAAGTGGCAACAATGCTTTGTCTCAGACTAAGACTAGTGGTGATTCAAGTACATTGCCTTTGTTCTTCTCACAATCAAGTATCCTGGAATAGTCTCCCAAAGGAAAGCAGGAAACCTAATTGCTTGCTATTTTTGAGCCAAGCTGATCAAAGCCATGACCCATGTAAGATCTTACTCCACAGAAGCTAAAACTGGTGGGAGAAGGAAAAAAAAAAAGTGTTACCTAGCTGGTCATGGTCAGCTGTATCCTTAATAATCTTTAATCCTTGAAAAGAAGGAATTTTTTTTTTTTTTTTTTTTTTTCCAGATTTCATTTCTTCTCTATCAGGAAGAAAAATATGAAATTCCATCACCTGATCCTCACTTCTTCCCTATCTTCTTCAGGTTTCCCCTATTCCCTTCTGGCCTCTTCTTCTAATCTCCCTTCAACACCTTATAAACCTTGGAGCAGTCTTCACTGCTCAGGCCACAGCTGAGCAGCTGGTACTTACCCAGCAGAACCAGTGAGTCTGGGTTGACCCTGTACTCCGTTTGGTAGGACAGGCTGCCCGAGCTGTTGAAGCTGGTGGAGAGCTCTTGCTGGAGCATTGTGTTTACCCTCTCAGCAGTCATGTCCTTCTGCTGACTCTCAGGGATTTGGAGGGCAAACCAGAAGAAGAAGGTCAGAGCCCCCTCCCTAACAGAGAAATAGCATGTTAAATATCCTCTTTCTTCCTCTCCGGAATCACTGGAGAGGCAAACCCCAGAGATTAACCCCCCCACTGTTTTTCCACAAATCAGGCATTTCTGTATGGACTTTCCAGCTGCACTGCTGTGACCCAGAGGAACCACTCTGAGGAGCATGAGAACTGCTACATCCATGGTGCTAATTAATGCTCAGTCCTTTGGGGAAAAAAGCCATTTTATGCCATCTGGCTTTAGTGATGACAATACATGGTCAAGTTAATGTGATAATTAATCAAGACTGGTCTGATGAGCAGTCTCATTTCAGGTAGAAATGACCTTTGGTTATTACTGACCAGAGGCTGAAAAGAAACATTCAAGACTTCATTGTCTCCCCTCCCAGTGGTGACAAGTGGGTGATTTCTGACTCAGTACCTTACCACAAGCCATTAATGCTGGGCAGGTTCAAGCTGCAGAAGACTGTGACTGGGAAAGCTCTGTTCAACCAGCTGGCAGAGAAAATTGGCTGGGGGAGGGGGAAGAGATGTTGAAACAAACCTTTGTTCAGTAAAAGACTAGAGGAAGAATAGCAAGTGAAACTTTTCTTTCCCCAGTTGAAAATGGAGTTACAGCAAAATTGGAATTTTCCTTAGCTGAAGGACAAATTTAGAAGTGTAGTTTTCCATGGAAAAAATGTCAGAAGCAAATGTATACATCAGTTTGGAAGTTATTCCCATTTTCTTGATCTTCTCTAATGACCTGCAAAGCTGTAGTCCCCCATCTGTCCCATTCTACTGTTATCCTATTCCCAGGTGGACTATGCGTCTTGGCTGGAATACCTTTTCCATGGTGCATTGTGGCCTCTCCCTTCTGGTGCCTAGAATCAGGCCATAAAATCACTTCCTTGAATTAGAGAAATTAATTTCCAGCTGCTTAGTTTCTACTGAGAATACCAAGGCCAAGGTTGTTGTTTTCTTCAATTTTTCCCAGTGACTTTTTTTCCTCTCTTGAACTTTTGCCTCTCTGAAAAATTTCTCAGTTTTGGCTTTTCATCATAACCTCCTATGAACATGAACATCGCAAAATATCCCCAGTTGGATCTCCCCAGCTCATGCTGGAGCCATTCTGGATCTGGACTGCCCAGCCTAGCCTAGACTTCAGGTGGGGACTGCAACAGTTTGTCATGGCCAGATTTCAGTGACACCAGAGTACAATTGGCTGGAAGCTTTCACACAGGAACAAATAAAAATGCTGTGGGTGCTACTCACCCAAAGGCATACACTGTGCTTGAGTTGTAATATCGACCCAGCTCTGTGGCACGAATCAGTTCCTTCAGCTGCAACGAGAATGTCATCTGATAACTATTGTGCAATGTTACAGTGGCAAAGGACCTATGGCCAACCCTATGTTTCATCCCTCTTGCTGTACGGTCCCACCAAGCCTGTCACTTGGATGGGGGTACCTGACCCCTTCCTCTTTCTACTCACTGAACTGCTTCTGGACCAGTTCTGGTCATGAAATTGCCCTCACCATCTTCTGGAGCTTAGATGACTCCAACCAGAATGCTCTGGACTCCACCTGCCCAAGGTCCGGGGAGTACTGGCGATTGAGGACCTGGAGGCTGCCAGAGTAAAACTGCAGGACGGCTGGTTCCAGGTGCCATGGTCTGTAGTCTGCCAACAGAAGACACTACTGGATTACCTTGCTGATGTGCAGGAGAGAGGGGTTTACCCCTATGTATGATCACCCAGAGGCACTAACATGCTTTGGGCTGGGCATTGCCTTGGCTAAATCCCACCCACCTCCCACACGGGGATAAAACATGCTGTATTTTTACCTAGGAAATACCAGGTTACTGCAGCAGCTCCAGCAAGCAAAAGAAAGGCTATCCCAAGGGGCACATAGCGGAGGCAGTCACGGGAGTTTGTCTCCGATCCATCCTTTGAGAGGGAGTTGGTATCTTCCTCCTGTTCCTCGGCCTCCATCAGGGGCATCTAGTGATACAGCACACCATGGTCAAGCTGGGTTTCTGCATCCCTTTACATCTGTCTCTGGAGGTGCTCTGCCACCTCTGTGCTCCTCTTCCAAGATCTATAGCCCCTAGAGATCTGTGTGCTAACCATCAAAGACTGTGCTCAGTGCAAAGATGAGTACAACTCCTAATTCAGTGGGAGAAAGGCTTCCAGGACACTGTCTTGTCTATGCCTCCTGGGTAATCCCTCAATTTTCAAAGGCATTCCCTGGGTTTTACTTCTGCCAAAACCATAAATGAGTACAATAATGAATTTCTCCAGAGACAAATATGTTGTCCTCCCAGGCTGGGAGTGGTTTTAAAACCGATATTTTATTGACCCAGAAATCAATGCCAAAGAAAATCCATGACCTCAAATGCACATAGAAGTTGCACACAACAGCCCAGCCTGGGAGCCTGAAGTTGCAGTTTGCTGCTGTGCCATTTTGCTCTCGGTCCCTAAAGGTTAGCAAACCTTTGCCATTCCCACCAGACCATGTGTGCCAGGACTAAGCCCATGCTGGCACTGACTCACTGGCTGACCTAGTGAGAAGAGAGGACCTGAATGATGTTCAGCCCTCCACCACCCACTGCTTGTGCCAGGGGACACCTTTTGGCTTCCCTCGTTCCTCATCTAACCAAGGCTGCTTCTTTTGCTTCATCCCAGCCAGCACCTCTTCTGTCAGCCTCAGACTCTGAGGGTAAGAAATTCCATTGCCCAAGAGAGCCACATTAATCTTGGTTGTCTATTTCACCCACGTTCCTTCTCCTTTCCTCTGCCATCACCCAGGGCATGACTGCCTCCAGAGGCTTTCTCTCTGTGGCTGGAGAGGAAAAGGATGTGAATGTACCATGTTGGAGGGCACAGAGGTCTTGGGGAATGCCTGTGCCATGTCTACGTGTCTGTGAGTCGTCTTTGTGCCCAGTGGTGTGTGTGACTGTGTGGGCATGAATGCACAGAAGGGACTTCTTGCAGATGTGGGAAGAGATGGTTGGCCTCAAGCCTGTTTTAGCCCACGTGGATACCCTGGAGCATTCACATGATAGGAGAGAGTGGTCTCACTCTCCTTGCTTTCCACCAGTTACCGAGCCCTGATCCCTCCAGGCTGCCTTGTAACACAGAAACACGCTTGCAGAACATAAGCACCAGGTAACTCATTCTGAAACATTAAACCCAAGATTTGCACTTGGACAATCAGCCGCACCTCTGCTTGCTCTACTGCACCCTTCCACAGAGGCATGCTGTACAAACAGGCCCAGCACAGACTGCCGTCCCTTGCTTCCCGTGGACCACCTTTCTGTGCAACCACTGGAGAAGATCTCCTCCCCACTGAACCAGGTTGAGTGGTCCAGGAGAGCAAGGGCACTTCTCCACTGTCACAGCATCCCTTCAGAAACAGCAGGCACAAGCAAAGAACCGCAGACGGAGGGGTGGGGGAAGGAGGGCAGGAAGCAACAGTAGAAGAGCCTCTTTGTTAGAAGATTTGATGGTAGGCACCGGGGTTTCCCCCAGAGCTGCAGACCTACCTTTGAAACCTGCTGCCGCCTGTGAGGCCTGGCCCACACCCCCTACGCAAGCCAGCGCACACACGCATGGAATGGGGGAGAGAGGAGAACATCTATTTACCCAAGCTCAAGGTCTCCTCGGCGTTCAATAATCTGATGCCATCTCCCTTCAGCTTGGCCTTTGTCCTACACCGTCCTGCCACGACGGGTCAGCACATCCTGTACACAGGCTTTCTTCTTTTCTGAAATGGAGGTTTCGGCGCCTTGCAGGGGCAGAAGGTCTGCGGGCTGAACAGGGGGAGCCTGAAGAAAGTCAGGCTCCAGTCAGGACCACCTCCAGTTGTGCAGAGAAGAACAAGCCAGGAGGCTGGTGCAGATAGCTTATGTTGTCCTCCTCAGCATTGCCTTGGCTAAATCCCACCCACCTCCCACACGGGGATAAAACATGCTGTATTTTTACCTAGGAAATACCAGGTTACTGCAGCAGCTCCAGCAAGCAAAAGAAAGGCTATCCCAAGGGGCACATAGCGGAGGCAGTCACGGGAGTTTGTCTCCGATCCATCCTTTGAGAGGGAGTTGGTATCTTCCTCCTGTTCCTCGGCCTCCATCAGGGGCATCTAGTGATACAGCAAACCATGGTCAGACTGGGTTTCTGCATCCCTTTACATCTGTTTCTGGAGGTACTCTGCCACCTCTGTGCTCCTCTTCCAAGATCTATAGCCCCAAGAGATCTGTGTGCTAACCATCAAAGACTTTGCTCAGTGCAAATATGAGTACAACTCCTAACTCAGTAGGAGAAAGGCTTCCAGGACACTGTCTTGTCTATGCCTCCTGGGTAATCCCTCAATTTTCAAAGGCATTCCCTGGGTTTTACTTCTGCCAAAACCATAAATGAGTACAATAATGAATTTCTCCAGAGACAAATATGTTGTCCTCCCAGGCTGGGAGTGGTTTTAAAACCGATATTTTATTGACCCAGAAATCAATGCCAAAGAAAATCCATGACCTCAAATGCACATTGAAGTTGCACACAACAGCCCAGCCTGGGAGCCTGAAGTTGCAGTTTGCTGCTGTGCCATTTTGCTCTCGGTCCCTAAAGGTTAGCAAACCTTTGCCATTCCCACCAGACCATGTGTGCCAGGACTAAGCCCATGCTGGCACTGACTCACTGGCTGACCTAGTGAGAAGAGAGGACCTGAATGATGTTCAGCCCTCCACCACCCACTGCTTGTGCCAGGGGACACCTTTTGGCTTCCCTTGTTCCTCATCTAACCAAGGCTGCTTCTTTTGCTTCATCCCAGCCAGCACCTCTTCTGTCAGCCTCAGACTCTGAGGGTAAGAAATTCCATTGCCCAAGAGAGCCACATTAATCTTGGTTGTCTATTTCACCCACGTTCCTTCTCCTTTCCTCTGCCATCACCCAGGGCATGACTGCCTCCAGAGGCTTTCTCTCTGTGGCTGGAGAGGAAAAGGATGTGAATGTACCATGTTGGAGGGCACAGAGGTCTTGGGGAATGCCTGTGCCATGTCTACGTGTCTGTGAGTCGTCTTTGTGCCCAGTGGTGTGTGTGACTGTGTGGGCATGAATGCACAGAAGGGACTTCTTGCAGATGTGGGAAGAGATGGTTGGCCTCAAGCCTGTTTTAGCCCACGTGGATACCCTGGAGCATTCACATGATAGGAGAGAGTGGTCTCACTCTCCTTGCTTTCCACCAGTTACCGAGCCCTGATCCCTCCAGGCTGCCTTGTAACACAGAAACACGCTTGCAGAACATAAGCACCAGGTAACTCATTCTGAAACATTAAACCCAAGATTTGCACTTGGACAATCAGCCGCACCTCTGCTTGCTCTACTGCACCCTTCCACAGAGGCATGCTGTACAAACAGGCCCAGCACAGACTGCCCTCCCTTGCTTCCCGTGGACCACCTTTCTGTGCAACCACTGGAGAAGATCTCCTCCCCACTGAACCAGGTTGAGTGGTCCAGGAGAGCAAGGGCACTTCTCCACTGTCACAGCATCCCTTCAGAAACAGCAGGCACAAGCAAAGAACCGCAGACGGAGGGGTGGGGGAAGGAGGGCAGGAAGCAACAGTAGAAGAGCCTCTTTGTTAGAAGATTTGATGGTAGGCACCGGGGTTTCCCCCAGAGCTGCAGACCTACCTTTGAAACCTGCTGCCGCCTGTGAGGCCTGGCCCACACCCCCTACGCAAGCCAGCGCACACACGCATGGAATGGGGGAGAGAGGAGAACATCTATTTACCCAAGCTCAAGGTCTCCTCGGCGTTCAATAATCTGATGCCATCTCCCTTCAGCTTGGCCTTTGTCCTACACCGTCCTGCCACGACGGGTCAACACATCCTGTACACAGGCTTTCTTCTTTTCTGAAATGGAGGTTTCGGCGCCTTGCAGGGGCAGAAGGTCTGCGGGCTGAACAGGGGGAGCCTGAAGAAAGTCAGGCTCCAGTCAGGACCACCTCCAGTTGTGCAGAGAAGAACAAGCCAGGAGGCTGGTGCAGATAGCTTATGTTGTCCTCCTCAGGGGACAAGAAGTTGCTGAGCAACTGATGTATTTCTTAGCTACCCTCCTTGGTCCCATTGGAGGGAGAGGCAAAATGCAGGGTGTGTGCTCCCCAGCTCAGAGGTGGAGCACACGCTGGCTGGCAGGTGAAGAATGTTTGAAGGAGGGAAGAAGTAGACAGCAGGTCCGGTTACCACAGCAGTCATGCAGATGAAAGCAAAGCACGGCGTCTCTCAGTCCCCACCTGCAAGACTCCCTCTGGTCTTCTTGTGCTTCTTGCTGCCCAGTCTCCTGATGCTGGGCTCCCTGCACTCCCTTGCACCACAACTTGCTCCTCCCTGCAGCATCTGCTTTTCTTCTAGCCTCAGGTCCTCCTCACCTACCTTGTCTGCACCACCTTCTGCTTAGAGCCCTGCAGCTCTGTACGTGCCCCTTTGTTTTTCATAAAAACCAACCACGGTCCAGCTAGACCAGAGTAAATAGAGTTACTCTGTCAATAAACGGGGTGGGGGGATGGGGACATGGATGACTCTTGACCTGGGACTGAGCTCCAGCAAGTGGCATTGACCTAGGGCTCAGTTCATTTGGGCCAGGGCTCATCTGGGCTTTGGCGGCTGGGCAGGGATAGCTGCTTTCAGCTCTGCCACTGGTTTAGGTTCAGTCTGGGGCTGCATGAAGCCCAAAAGCCATTGCTGTAGTTACTTCGTGGTGGATTCTGGTAGGTAAACGTTATATGTGTGTGAAAAGCTGCAGTGTTTCACTGGGAATGTGTCGGTGTGGTTATGACAACTAACTCATCTATGTACATATGTGAAACTGAGGCACACAACGACAGTAAGAAATGCTTTCAGAACTGCTTGAGAGATTTAAGGGACCAGATTCTCCTTTAAAAAGCTACTTCCAGCCAAAATTTCCCCAGATAACTAGGGCCTAGCTGCATTTTTAGGCATACATGTACGGCTTTCCCAAGCTCACAATAGTGAGTCAGAACCCAGCTAAGGGTATTTCCCGGTGCCAGAGAACTTAACATTTTTGTATCCATCTTTCCTGGAAAGAAGCATCCTCCTTCTCTGGTGTTTTCAGCAGAACAAAAAATATAGAATCTCAATCTGATCTATCTAATCAAGCATACCACATCTATCACCACAAGCTTTTGAATTAACCAAGGACCCAAAACCTTGATCAGATTTGACTTCAGAGGAATTCCTTTGCTGTAAGTACCCTTTACTTTCTGCTTCTCCACGGTAAAAAAGAAGGAAGGGATGTGGGAGGAGGCTGAGAGTAATGTTGCCTACTTACAAAAAAGGTATCTTGGAAAGAGGGAGATGGGAGATGTGACAGCTATCTTTGCTATCTCCAGGCTTAAGATAAAGAGAGGACTTGTCTGTGGTTGTTAGCTTGGTATTTTCCACACAGTGCTGGCGTTCAGCTTTGGTTTGCCTTCGGTGCTTGTGGACACATCTTTCTGTGGTTTTGCGAACCACACACTGGGTGTTTGCATCAGCTTGAGAGGGGACCGCTCCCTATGTGACATTTCCAAAGAGGTCTTGGGGACCCAGTAGAGAAAGGGCCCCATATCACCGAGAGTGTTATGCCTTTGGTATTCACAACCTGACTTACTCACATACGAGACCACATGATCTTGTCTTCCTGGAAGAAAAGTCCGGTTATCACCAGATCTGATGTTGAGCACTTCCTGCCGCAGTGTGTCACACATTCACACCCAACGTGGTGGCGAATGCATTGCGAACATCTTGCCAGCTTGAAAATTGCTAGCACTTTCACAAGTTGGGGGGAAAAATACCGAGCCAGCAGGATGGTCCTCAGGGGCCTGCAGCAGGATCACTTCCATCTCTGCTTTCTGTTTAAGGTGGCTGAGTCCCTTGGGGAGGGGAGTAGGAAGGAGGACTAAAGATACCTTGGTCTGAGCAAAGCTTTGCCCAGTCTCCTATTTAGAAAAGCTGTTAATCCTTAGCCTCAACCCCAAAAGACAGAAAAACACCATAGATCCCTTAATATTTCTTTTATTTACAAATAGGCAAAGTTTTTCTTTTGTACTTAGCAGCAAGAAAATTGAGAAGCTTATGAAGATCTATATTGGGACAGGACAACCATCAGTACAACTAGGAGATCCCTGGCCCATGTAATACAGTGAATTATCCATCGGAGCAAGGGATTCAGAGTCTCTTCTTGCAATCCATCAGCGAAGAGTTGGACAAGCTTTGTGTTTTCTTATCTGGGAAGCTGTGGGGTCTTCCTCACCTGTTGCCTCCTGGAGACAATGGAGCAGTCTATGTCTTGATGCAGGTGGTGAAGAAGCTGATGAGAGGAGAGGTATAGCTCCTCCAGCCTCTCAGCTGGAGGTAGGCTCAACTCCTTTGAGCAGCTCTTTTGAGGTGAAATCCAAGCCAAAGGGTGACCCTGTAGCAGGGATGCCTAATAACATTCAGGCTGCGTAATGCAAGGTCAGGTAACAGTGTAGGACCAGGACAAAGGGGAAGCTCAATGCTTGTACAGACAGAGGTAGGGAAGAATTAGTTGTGGGTGATGCTCACAGGGTGACAGAAGTACCAACAAGTTCAATATCCCTGACCTTTTTGGTATAAAAACTCTAAGAAGAAATATCTTTAGCACAGGGCTAGTATTTTTCTATTGCTGAATAGTCCAGAAATACAGCAGAAAGTGGACCGACATGCAGGGATGGATGTAACCAGAACAGCTTGTCTTCCTTTGCCTTGCCACTTTTCTTCTGCAGTGTGCTGCTTTTTCTCAACCCAGATCAGCAAATGCAGAGGAAAGATGATTAAAAAAAAAAAAAAAAAAAAAAAAAAAAAAAAGAAAAGAAAAGAAAGTTAAAAAGTGGTTTGCATACTTCTGTCTAGTGGGTAGGAGACTGGCTCAGGATGAGAAAATAAAAATTCTCTGTCTTTTAGAGTGTAAGAGCCAGCCCACATGTTCCTCTTTCTTGGCTCATACTCTCAACCACCAGGCTACCAGCCCTCTTGCTGCAGCTGTTCTACTTGACACGCAGGACAAAGGGGAAGCTCAATGCTTGTACAGACAGAGGTAGGGAAGAATTAGTTGTGGGTGATGCTCACAGGGTGACAGAAGTACCAACAAGTTCAATATCCCTGACCTTTTTGGTATAAAAACTCTAAGAAGAAATATCTTTAGCACAGGGCTAGTATTTTTCTATTGCTGAATAGTCCAGAAATACAGCAGAAAGTGGACCGACATGCAGGGATGGATGTAACCAGAACAGCTTGTCTTCCTTTGCCTTGCCACTTTTCTTCTGCAGTGTGCTGCTTTTTCTCAACCCAGATCAGCAAATGCAGAGGAAAGATGATAAAAAAAAAAAAAAAAAAAAAAAGTGGTCTTTGCTATCCTCTTTCTTTGTGAGTGGATTGAGGTTTTCTTTTCAGCAAAGGTGCTGATTCGTGGGTTAGTTTTCTGGGCTCATTCACCACATCTTTGCTGCTAATTAGGCAATGGTTTCCCTTGAGCAATGGAAGGAATGGGCAGCACCGTTGCGATGTTTTCCACTAATACACAGGATGTGGGATGAACTATTCTGCAATCAGCTTATCGTAGTCAAATAACCGTATTTTGCCAGCAGGGCAGAGAGGCTTTCGATTTCATGAAAAATATTGCAGCAAGAATGGGAAATTGTGTGTGCTCTTTTTACTGCCATCATCAGACCTGGGGGAAAGAAGGAGGGGGGAGGGGATTTCCCCAGTATTTTTAACCCAGTAATGGGGATTTCTTTTTACACTGCACTTCTTAGACAGCTGACATAGTTGTTGCTCTGAGCTGACCTTAGAGACTCAAGTCTAAAACTGGATCGAGTAGCTCAGAATGTAATCTCTGATTGAAACCTGAAGTGAAGACATCACATAAAAAATTACACCCTTGGTCAGTTAGGAGGAGATGTCTTCAACCACTCTGTCATCAGCCCCAGCACTGACTGGTAGTGCTACTGTCCCTTGTACAAAATCTCATATCCACTTCTTCTGCTGTTTCTCCCTTTCATTAGAAGTTTTTAGGCTGAGGACAAGGCAAATGGGCCATATGCCTGCTCAGCTTCAAAGCTGAGTTCTATTTTACACCAAGATACAGAGCACAGAAGAGCTGGCACAGCCTCCTAGTGGGAGCTGGGAAAGAAGCAGCAAGTTGGTGAAGTTTGTGATGGCACCTGAGTGGTGTGCGAAGGAATTTCTATACCATTGGATATATGCAATAGCAGAGAAACAGGTTCAGTTATGAAGGCGAGTCCTTGTTGGCCTGTATACCTAAGAATCAAGCTGCTACGTCTCTATTGTCTGTGTAGCCACTGGACAGCTTTAATGCCCCTTTATCATTCCCCATGGGTTGCTTTACTGTCCACTAGCCCAGTTCTCCATGCAAAGCATCCTTCACTTTCCAGTGCTCTGCTTCACTAACCTTGGGAACTCATGTTACTCATGTAGCCATCCGTGAATTTACACCTTGCACATCCTATTCCTTTTCTAGTTTTGCAGCCCCTTAGATTAACTGTGTTCTCCAGCCTCATTAAAAAGCAGTCCCAATGGATTTGATGCTGAAGTCACTTTCATGTCCTGAATAGAAAAACTGTCAATCTAGCCTTCCCTGCAGAGAAGACCTTTCCTACCTGTGGTCTTCCTCCAGGCAGTTCCTAGACAGAGTAATGACTGTACTGGCTTTGGAGGTCCCTCAGAGAAAGGTAGGCACCAGTGTTTGGGACCTGGCTGGAGAAGGCTGTTCTGCATGAATCCTCATCCTGGTTTTGCCTTAGAGGTGGAGGATGAGAGGAAGAAGAGGTAGCATGTGCTGCTGGTGTACAGGAGTCAGTTGGAGGGTCTGCTTTCCCACTCTCCTCCGTTACATCAATAGTATCACTGTCATGCAGGTCTAATGGGTCAGGAAAGTCAGTGTTCAGCTGGCACAGAGCCTCAGCAGGTAGTAAAGCTGCTTTGTCCATCACCTTCTTATCCTGTTTCAGAACTGGTGTTGATGAGGTGCCTTCACTTGATTGGAGAGCCCCAGAAATAGCCAAGGCCTGATGGGCTTCTCCTTCTGTCTCTTCCGCAAAGGAGTTGATTTGGAAGCTGTGGGTTGCCTTGATACAGTGTAGGAAGTTGTGGGACAACACGGGCATGTCTTCTGCCAGTGTGCAGAAGTCTGGGGAGGGGGGAGCTTGGTAACACTTGCCATCCTCACTGCCACTGCCTTCATGGGTGAAAGGCTCATAGGTGAAGTAGACCTGACAGGGCTCGATCTCAAAGGAGTTGGGAAGGTGGAAAAAGAAGTAGCCTTGGTTAGTGAAGCAGCTGGATACAGAGTGCCCACTGGTTTCTACAGGAGGATCAGGAGTCAGGGTTCCCTTGGAAAGTAGAAACTGGGATTCCTGGTCATTCTTCTGCATCACCTCGAGCATGGAAATCTCTGGGGTTGTGCTGTTCACACAGTAGGAGGATGTGGAGAATGGGGAGGAGAGCCATTTCTGATGGAGAAGAAACACAGGAGAGAGATGGTTACACCCAAAATATAACACTCAGTGAGGAACCAAAGGTTTCTTCTCCTGAGCACCCATAGCAATCAAGTGACCTTTTCTCTGTCCAAGCAAGAGTTGCCAGAGGTGGTGGGGAGGGCAGTTCACATTCATGATCTCTCATCTGCAGGATTTTCAGAGAGTATGTTTTCTGTTATTTTGAAATCAAGAGTGGGTCTTGGAAATTTTTTTTAAGATTTCTGGAGGGGGTAATGGAAGATGGAGTATTAAAGGGAAAGGAAGAAAAACAATTACAAGACCATAAGATGAAGGTGGAAACATGAAAAGCAGTACTGAAATGAGTCTCCTGCAATCTATCCCTAGGTGCTGAATCAGTTTCTGATACATCTACATGGCCCTATGCAATTTTTTGTCTCAAGTGCTCTTCCAGGCCCTTTGTGCTTAGGTTTCCACACTCCCCATGAGTGACTTCGTGCAGTGCATCGTTATCCTTAAAAAAACCCTGCTTTTTATAACATCCAACTTCGTTGCCTTTATGACCAGTGAAGCAATTTTTCTAGTTCTTTCTGCACTGAGACAGTGTCTTCAGTGCCTGCTGCACACCCCCGCCCCCCTACTCCACACTCTTCCCCTGCAGTTTAAGCTTTCTAAGTTTTTTTGCATGTAGGCTTTTCCAAAGCTTTGCTGTCCTCTGGACCCTCTGAAGCTTGTTTCCATCCTACTTAAAGTGAGATGTCCCTTGGGATCACCTCCCACGTCTTGGTTCTGACACTCCCTTTAATCCTGCACAGAATAGTAATCATCTCCTTGCAGCTGCCCATACTCGCGGAGAGATTAAGGGAAGGGAGAATGTACGTATAGATAAAGAAGGGAAAGAGTCAACAAGAATGCAGAAAACAGTGAAGTGTCATCCAACGTGATGGCAATTCACATTAGGAGCAGAGGAAAGGCTCTCAGTCAGGAGGAGGGGATCACAGCAGGAGATCTGGGAAGAGCTGGGGAACCTAGGGCAGGCAGGGAGGGAGAGAAGTGGGGTAGAAGGGGATCTGAGAGGCCAAGTTCCCTCCCCCAGGTCCCTTGTTTTCTCTCAGGCTCCCTGTTAGAGGAGAAGGGTGCTGAGGTTTGAGTGGTTTGCCGTTTCTCAGTTCTGTAATTAGTGACGCCTCAGCTGAGTGTCAGGTTTTAGAAGGTCAGAAAATAAAACTCGAACAGAGAACTCAGCAGCTGGTGGTACAGGCACAGTGTCATGTGTGCACATGTGGGTCTGATAACCTGCTGTCCTGGGCATGTGCACGTGGACCTTCCTTTCCCCCATTTCTCCCTTATGACCATATGGTTCCATCCCCAGTTCCATACCTGAATGTCACCTCCGTGAACTGAAACCAGTGGGGGAAAGAACTTCTCGGGGTCTGGGATGTGAATCTTCAGGATCTTCTTAAACCTTGAGAAAGGAGAAAGAGAAGGAGGAATGAAGCAGGGCCTGATCCCGATCAATCTGGTACTGTGGTGTGGGTGGGAGAGAACATTGCAGCTCGTGGGTATTACCCTGGCATAGGGGAGAGGTAAAATAAGAACAAGCCTGAGGGCTCTCCTTGCTGAAAAGCAGTAGCTGAGGGATGAGTGGTAGAGAGATGAGGCAGTTAAACATTGAACCATACCCTCCCCTCAGCCTTTTCCCTAGGGAAGTACAACCAGCATTTCACTGGTTTCTTCCCTGACTTGGCCGGTCACCTTAACTTCTCCACCTGCCCCTTTAGCCCCCCCATCCTGATAACAAGCTGGGCAGGTCTCCCTTGTTTCCAAGTCCTAGATGTCGCCAGTTGCCCCCTCTTTGCTTTCCTGCCACCGCAATGACTCAGGAGACCACATGGGCTGAACGACACCATCGCTGACAGACGCCGACAGCGTCTGTCTGTCCTGTTAGCAGGACACTGTGTGGTATAGCAAAGCTGTGCTACAGCGTCTGTCTGTCCTGTTAGCAGGACACTGTGTGGTATAGCATGCCTTGCACCAGCCCAGTGCCATCTGCTTTACTGGTCCCAGCGTGTGGTCATCCCGAGGCAGCATGCAGTGATCTAATTTGCTCCTCAGTCCCCCAGAGAGGTTGGCTGATCCTGTCAGCTCTTTACTGAAGCTTTGGTGTGGGAAGCTCTGAGGAAAAACCCTCCTGACCTCTGGAGGCAATCAGTGTACTCTCTGAAGCATCAGAATTTGCTAGTTCTTGCATATAAACTACCTTACATCACTGCAGATGCTATTTTTATTCATGCGTGTCTAATCCTTCCTTGGATCTTACCTCAGCATTATCCTCTATCCAATTCCCCCAGGTTAATTATACTCTGTGGAGAAAGGAACCCTTTTTATCTCACTCTGTGCCATACAGCTAATATTTCTTCACCCTTGCATTATGACTCAAGGTAAAACACAGTGACCAGTGACTTTCTCAGTATCTGTCTTCCTTCAAAATGCGTCTCCCTCTTTCCACTCAGAGAAGCCATCCCAGCCTCTGCTGCCTCATCCCTGAGAACATTTCTCCCTGCCACCAACATCAGCATTCTGCTTCTCTGCCCCTGTCCCAAGATGAGAAAACCTGAAGCCATTTCTAACCTTGCTGTGCTGACAGGTCACTTTCTGTATTATTGCACCGAATGACCTTGTGAGACACTTTAAGGCCTGGGTAGAAGCGCTGGTAAAAGGATCTTTACAGCATCACGTAGATGTTTACCAGCATGTGATGAGACACTTCAGGACCGCACAGATCAGCGAGAGGAAGAATTGTACTCCCCATTTTGGCTACAGACCAGATGTCACTATGTCAGGCCGGAGTGTTCAACTGAGAAGGTAGCAGTACCTAGGCTTGCTTGGTCCTTTCTACTGAGGGATTGCTCAACCCAAGAGGCCTTCTTTTTAAGAGGCAATTTTGGTCCATCCCTGCTGGGAAGATCACTCTAACTCATGGGTAACAAAAGTGCTAAGGTGATCGTTTTGAAATTAACCAGGACATGCCACCAGGTCACAGAAGTGCAGCACAATATGCGATGATGATGGTGAAACCACATCATCTTGGGTGGTGATATATCTCCCCAGACAGATGTCAGCCTCAAAAGGTTGGGCTATAAAAAATATTTTTAAGTCAATCTCTATCCCGAGTAATGCCAAGTGAAAAATAATGCTAATTTTGAGAAGAAACACAAGATACAGGAGAGGAACAAAGAGGAAAACTTGATTCTCATTTACCATTTCAGGGTCCTTAAATTAATAAGGAAGGCAGTCCCAATGATCACAAAGATGCAAGAGCTCACTAGAAGTGCTGGCAGGACCGGATGAGATGTTTCTGCAAGGTAAGAGAGAATGAGGGAGTTGCTGTGAAAATTTAGACAGAATTCTGGTAGTAGGAGCTACAGCCCTCCCATGGCAGTTCAAGCTAACCAGTGATATAAAATTGTAACATACAGGTCAGATAAATGAGTTCTTCTGTGTTGTGTAGGACACCTTTGGGGATTTCAGAGTCTACTTGGCATTGCTTAATAGATAATTTGTTCTGAACAGCTTGAACTCCTTCCTCATAACAGCACCACAGCTGGGGCTTGTCACAGATGAGGTGGCACGGCATACTGGTTAAGTGTCCATCAACCTGTTTGTCTCATGGCAAAGGAAAGCAGGGAGTCCTAAAATCATCTTAAGTGGGACTAGGAACTTGAAACAGGATTATGAGCCAGTGGGGGAGAGAGAGTCATGGGGTTCATGGGTCTTTGAGAAGGCAGGAGGACCAAGGATGGAGGAGGTTAGGGGACAAGAGGCTGGCTTCTTTCTTTGGAGAGGTTAAAGAAAGCTTTAGGAAGCTAGGAAGGTTATGGCTTTCCACCACATGATTTTGGTATTAGAGAAAGAGACTGAGTTCCCACATTGCCAGCACTGCCAGCACTCCTCAGGCTTCTCTAGCATTATCTCAAACTTGTCTTAATCTGTCCCTTTCACACACGTCTCCCCAGTGCACTTTTGTTTAGTCTTGCTGTTCTGGTACCTGTCTACTCTGCCCTGCCACCCTCATCTCCCTCCACCCCTAATACCCCTTGTTCTGGGCCTGCAGAGCTCCTCTGGAGTAGGTTTGAGGGATAAGATCAAAATAAGAGAAGGAGGAGACATTTTTAGGACATTCTTTCTCTGCCTGTCCTTGAGATGCTGCTAAGATCACTTTGTCTCCTCTGCCTCTGGTACCCTGGTTATCTTTGGGTCTTGGTTGCTATGACAACTGGTTGCGGCTGTATCCTATTCATTGACATCACACACTGTCAAAATTTGATCGCCACAGCAACACAGTGCCCTTTCTAAACATAGCTCATCTGTTTATACCAGCACCAGGCACAACAGGGAGGGGTTGAGCAGGGGCAGAGTGGGGGCGACATGAGAAGGAATAACCTCTTATCTGCTTATTTTTTGGAAAAGAAATGACAGAGACTACAGCCAATGACTCACCGAAGAGACTTGCTCAGGGCACTATCTTTCAAGGCTGGAGGTGTCCTCCGTGCTGTGGTTCATGGTAATGATTGATGCAAGTCTCAGTAGACCTTTTTGGAAGGGACTTACATGCATGTAAGTCTCTTTCTTTCTCTGTGAAACTTTGCTGGCTAGGATCAGGTCTCCTTTGGTTCAAGAGCTGAGTGCTCTGTTTCACTGCATTTCACTGATCAAGGGCTTCAATGAGCTGGGACGTTTCCGAAAGCGGCATTTATGTCCCTAGGTCACAGAAGCACATGGGAAAATGCCAGTCCTGGCCACTGCTTCTGCAGGTCTGATATTTGGCCTTACTGCTCTGGGGAAGCAGTCCCTGATTTACATCTTGTGGATTTTGGCTGGCTTCTGGGACTCAGAGGAATTCAGTCGGGATCAGGGGGTCTTTGTTCTTAAGCCCTGTTGAGCCAGCCTGACCTAACAGATTAGGAGGGACAGATAATTTCTGATCTTCTATTGCTCTTCGATTAACACAGTCCTCCTGCAAACCCATCTCCCTCCCACTTCCCATCCTGGTTTGGCCCTTCTACCTTGTTTTCCCTGAGTGCCCTCTTTCCCCTCCAAGCCAGACTGCCTGACTCTGATCCTTACGGTCAGCATGTGTCCTCCACAGTATCGTCTCGCTCCAGTCACTCCACACGCCTTTGTAGGTATCTGACTCCCTTGGCCTTGCACGGACAGCTGCCTCGTATTTCAAGTTGGGGGAGAGGCACTCAAACACCACCCACATCTGGTCCTGTGTAATGGTGAAGTTCTTTGCCTCCTGGAAGAAGGGTAAAATTAGAGTACCATCAACACCCTGCCATGGCTTACAAGCCTCATGTACCCATCTCTTCCAAGGCCCTCAGAAAGGACCTGTCTCGGATCCCTATGCCTCGAGCACTGCTTGTTCACCCTGGAGGAAAATTCTTCTTCTCTTTGATTTTTTCAGCCCTTTCAAGTCTGTCCCACAGCTGTCCGGATTTCTTTGTGACAGCGACAAGTGAAAAAGGATTTCCGTCTGTTTCCACATCACCACAAAACACTGGCGGCAGGTGATGCAGATAAAAGGGTGAAGGGGTGTCACCCCCTCTCCAGCTTCACCAAAACTGGTTTTGTCCCAAGAGGAGGCCCAGGAGCAGGTTGGGTGGCATAAATGAGACTGGGATTTGTGCAGTCACAGGTCCCAGTACCTCACTCCGTACTCACCTCCCAGGACTGTCTTATGTTCCGGTACCGCACTTGATATTCCCGCTCCCCTTCCAAATAGTGAGAGGAAATATTCAGGCTCCACGTTAAGTTGTAGGTGTTTTCAGTTTTGTTAATCAGCTGAAGGTTTCCCGGAGGCCACAGCTTTACTGCAAAGAGAGAAGGAGCAGGGCTGATACCTCTGCACTCTCTGTGCGTAACAGGGCTCCACCGCAAAGCCCGTTGCAGCAGGGTTGGTGTCTTGGCTGTGCCCAGAGACTCCAGCCAGACACAGCCACGTGAAACTGTGAGTGAGTCCCCCCCTCTCTGTTCCTCCTTCTTCCCCAATGTACTGTGACTGAAGGCAAAAGACCTGTTGTCAAGGGGCCACGTTAAAGGCAGCGCCTCCTGTGAGCCTGTGAGAGTGGCTCCTGCAGTCAGTGCAATCAATCCCGCACGGCCATGCATCCTGCCTTGTAGGCACAAGGCAATTGTATGGACAGGAACGGAGCATGGGTGGGGAGACAGCTGCTTCCCAGTGTCTCTTTCAGAGACCTACAGCCACAGGGGATGAAGTTAGACAGACTGTCTAGGCTGATCCTTCCCAACCCCTGACTCCAGCCATGCCTTTTTATGCCTCACCTTGCAGCAGCTCTATGGAACGTCTCCTTGAGCCAGGTAAACTCACATATCCAGCAAAAAAAAATGACCCAAGCAGATGTTTTCCTGCTGGATTAGTGAGTTGAATCTTTCCAGCAAAGACTGATACATGCCAAAGCTGGCTTAAAGGAGGGTGGAATCACATATCTAGTAGGAGGGGCAAGGGAAGAGCAGCAAGACTTTCCATCTTTCTTGCAGCATGCACATTTCAGGAAAGTCAGCTGAGCTGTCATTGCCTGTTAGAAGCCAGAATTCCTAGCACAAAGTACTCTCATTTAAGTGTCCCAGGTACAGGACAGGATAGGAAGCAACTGGTGTGACACTGCATGTAAGGGGTGCAAGTGGCAGGAGTCAAAGTGGTTAATCTGTGCTGGTTGTAGCAAGGGGCAAGGAAAAGACACAAGTCTAAAATCATCCATGGGTGTTGCATAGGGGTAGATGAAGAATAGAAACTGGTTAGAAAATTACGGGGAAACTTCAGAGACTGCAAGAGAGATGAGTACTCACTATTTTTAAGTGGATTAAAATCTTCTATTCGAGCAGGTATAGATCTATTCTTGCCAGTGTGGCAATGGACAGACAGGGTCAGACGGTCTGAAACGGTGAAGCATTGCTCCTGCAAGGAAAATCTACTGCTAGCAACACTAGAGCCTCATCAATAAGCATTCATATTTCTAAACATTGCCTATGTGTAAGAGGTTTAGGGATACTTGAAAATAAATATGGACGATTTTTGTGGCTGAAAGCATAAACTCAGTAGTGAAGGAGGAACCAAAGTTTTATACCTCATGAGACTGGAATTTTTTCTTCATTGGCAAGAAGGGCACAAAATACTGTGATAAGAGAGTTTTCTAGGATTGCTGTATGTGTTAAGCAGGAAGAAAGTTACTTGCTATGAGTGTCATTCATTGAGAAAAAATATTTTTACTAAAACATTTTGTGTTCGGTAAGACTGAGATGACATTAGTATTAAATATTACTCTTGAAATGCAGTGATATTAAATGGCCATATACATCATACAGTATTAAATAAGCAATAGGGAAATGAGCATGATTAGAAAGAAAACATTTTGGAGCTGTTTACCAACCCTGCAATTTGTCTTTGCATATGATGTGCAAATGTAAGAAAGTTTGTCTGTCATTAGAACTGGTGGTGACTTTGTCAATAAGGAGAATTAGCTCATATTTGGATGGGCTTTTTTTTCTGAAAACACAGGGATTACAGTAACTCTGGATATGACTGAAGGAAGCACATAATGAGTCTAAAAAAATAATTATTTAAATAAAGAATAATAGCTAGAGGATTTGCATCCCCATTAACTCCAGTGATGTGTTGTTGCATCTTGCATTTGATACATCTAACCAGACTTCATAGGAGTTAATGGTCTGGAAAGTGGCACTGATCTCTTCAAGGAAAACGAGGTCAAGAGGTGACCTTAGAGCTGGTGATGATGTCCATCCCTGCTCAGAGGAAACAATTACAGACAAACCCAGGTAACTGAGACATGGGACATTGCATATGATCTGTCTGTCCTGCACCATTTCTGCATGTGTCAGGACAGCATGGCCCAGCTCACAATGAAACCAATCCCTCCTGCAGGGGAACCCACGGGGGCAATGCGTATCAACAGCACACAACATCAAGCCCAACTCCAGAAGTGGAGTCAGGGATTAGGTTTGGGCTTTTTGTACTGCTCCTGGGTGTCACACTGTTTATACACTCAAAATCAGCACAAAAATCCTTTCCACCTTCTCATTAACCGGACGTCCCAGATGAATTACTCACATTACTGTTTTTGCTGAAAGTCTTGATGCATCTCCTCAATCCGGTCATGTGTTCTGCCTTGGGTAATTCACAGTGCTCCTTGCATTTTTCAGGTGAGCAAAACAACCTGTGATTTAAGCAGGAGAACTCTAGAGATCTGGGGAGGCTTTTGTATTTAGTCAAACTTTATGTAGCACTAAAGGCCTTTCAAAGCATTTTGCATCCTACCGTATTTGCTGAACAGGTTACAGCAAGGATGTAATCCCACTTTCTCTCCCCGCTGCACCACCCAGACAAATTTTATGTGCTGGCACATGGAGTGTCAACACATCCCAGTTATTTCAAGCCAAAGATACCAATAGGTTTTCAGTTTCCAAGTCTTCACAAAACCCTCTTGCTACCTTCTCTGCTTCCTGGTGATATCAGAGAGCATGCCCACAATGGCACCAACATGGCCCTGGAAGACAGCTGCCTGTTTCAGCTCCTCTAGGGTTTACAGCTCTCCTTCAAGCCACTGACAATCCTGTAGGATGCATCTTCTGAACCAGGTTACATCCCAGTCAACCAGAACTGTACGTCACACTGGGCTGTGCTACGCCATGACCTCTATTCTGCTCTGGCAAATGCGGCTGGACAGCCTAAGCTGAGCTATGGCACAGGGTGGGAGACCATCCCTGGGGTTCCAGCTGAAGAGGTATCAGACTGAGCTGCCTGCTGCTGCTGTGAGGTCAGATCAAGCCTAGGACTTGCTGATGCTGGTGAGAGGTAGTGTCCTAGAGCCCTGGTCAAGCAATGGCGCAGTTCCAAATCCAGCCCAAACTCCAGCACCAGTCTCAGTGATTCACACCCATGGAGAGAAATAATGTTTTTCTAGGGCCACGCACCAGGGCCTGGAATATATTTGCCCATCTCACCCCATTGGAAATGCTTCTGTGACAGTCACAAGCAACCCATCCGCTGCCAGAATCACACTGAGCCTCTTCTTATGACAGGCACCCAGGGAAGCCCTGGGGTAGGGTGATAAGTCTTTCGGCTGGAGATGTCATATTGGAGACCGCAGAGATTCATCCAGCCCCCACTGCGGTGCTGGCCACACACCTACCTCTCTGCTGGGAGACGCGTGGGAGATGAAGACATCATAAACTGAGAAATACAAACGGGCCAGGGAAGGTAAGGGGAACAATATTTACCTTCATTTACTGTTACTCAGGGTGCAACACCCCAGCTCATCCTGGCAATGAGCAAATGGCCCTTGTATGATTTCAGTTCCACTGTCCTCCACCCCCATCTCTATACATACTCCTTTTCCATTGAAAATGCCTTTCAAGTTCAGAGGGTGGCTACCAAGGAAGAGGGATTTTTTGGAAAATGAAGCAGAGGCAGAGCTATGGAGCTGGAAGGTGGGCTGTGCTAGACAGTCGGGGACCATCAGATGACAGACATTGAGCAGTGGCCAGCATCTCAGCCTGCATGGACAGTTCGAGACAAAGCCCCTCGGCTCTGTGACTCCACTATGTCTGGCCTGGGGAAGGGGAGCCTACATTTTTTTTAAGTGGTAAACTATCCAGGACACTTCATTCAAATAATTGGTTTTCCTCATCCTCTCCAGTGACCCACCTGTCACAAAAAGGATGCTTCGATGAAATCTCCAGCTGGCATGGTGCTTCAAGCAGGTCCCTGCTTGGGATCCAGTCACATAAGAGGGCTGCCCGCGAGTCATACCAACAAGTGAGGCTGGAGGCACCTGCCAGCAGAGAAGCAACGGACAGCAAAGTGGCTGAATTAACAATGATTAACCATTAACCATCACCCCAGACATTAACCATCACCCCAGACAATTCTGCCCCATCCCAAACTACAGCTGCTGGATCGCTGTCTCCAGATAAGAAAGGCAGAGCCACTCACTTCTCTATGTCCTTGGAGGTTGATGTGCTCATAAGAGACCTGCAACTATTGCAACCTCCTCTTGGCTGTATGTTACAGCAGGAGCATTGCACAGCAACACACCGTGGCGCACACACTCCTCCGACTGACCCCTCTCCCTGCTCGCCCAGATGGCACGGGTGAAGGGAATCACTCCTTACCTTGTGCCGAGTCTGCTGCCCGTGAGATTAGCGTGAGGCTGAACAGCCAAAGGTGACACAGAAGCAGCAAAGAGGGCTTCATCTGTACTGGTGGTGACACGCTGAAAGAGACAAGACACCCCCCCAACACAGCTCAGCAATGCAAATTAGGAAGATGTCATCTCACAAGGAGGCATGCTCAAAGCCAGTGCCACTCTTCTAGGCTCAGCAACTCATACCCCTTTTCCCTCAGCACCTCATCGTTTCCCTGCCTTGGGTCCTTTGCTCAGCACCGAAACCGCTCGCAGTGCGGCACCGGCAGGGTGTTTGCGGGAGTAATGCCTTCTGGAAATGTGTGTGAGTGCACAGCGCTCGTTTCGGGCCGCCTGCTGACTCAGGTAGAGAGTGCCGCCTTGGTTGCGCACGGCTTGTGCTTTGAAGAGCTTCTTTTTTTGGTAAGGCTGAAACAATTAGGTGCTTGCTGAGTAAGAGGGGTCTCTGGCTGCAACCGACAAAAGTCGGTTGAGGAGCTCAGCGCTCAGAAGGTAGATTTTGAATGGCTTGTTTGGGAAAGAGGAGGAAATCAGGGAGAAGAAGTTTACCATGTCCTGCGCTATCATAAAATATTACATAGCCACGCACAAACCATGCACCGTCCTCGCCAAGTAGACCCTGCACTGCCTTGGAAAGAGTCACAGTTTTAGGTGTGACCGGCAGAAAATTTGGCCTTTGTAAATAGAAAACTACATCACCTCTCATCCTCCCATGGCACCCAGGGAAACGCCTTGCCTTACAAAGCCTGTACAGCCCTGCCCCGTATCAGACAAACTGGGCTTATGGATTTCTCATCCAAGCCTCCCCCTCCCGCCATCCACCTGGACACCCGTACCTCGAGGTCTGCCTCTGCCCATAGGAGAAGAGACCATCCCTCACCTCTCAGCAAGCCTGGAGCCCAGGCAAAGCTGAGCAAGACAAGACAGAGTCCTGCTGGAGCCTGCTGAGACTGCCAGGGGAGTGGGAAGAGAGGGTTTATAAAGGGCTGGCATGAGGCATAACATCGATTCCCATTGTGATAAAAGATTAGGTTCAGAGGAACTAAGACATGACGACAATGCATTAGCAGACAACAGGGAGAGAAAGAGAGAGAAAGAAAGCAGGCGGTGTGGTTGTGAGATGTGGGGTATGATTTGAGAGGACTGTGGATAGACAGAGAGATAAATACATACTCAGCCCTCCCCAATGGCAAGATTCAGTTTGTCAGACCGAAACTCCTTCCAAGACACTTTTCATATCAGCCACCCCCATGTGGGAGAGAGCTGGCATTACCCCCTTTTACCTTCCAGCTCCAGGCACCAAGCAGTCCAGATGAAGGGAGTCCCCGGGCACCAGGTGGTGGGGTTGGATGGAAGCAGGTGCTGCACATCAAAGAGGGAGGGGAACGGGGAGGGAGGAAAGGGAGACGGATGGAGGGGGAGGTCCTGGCTCAGTGTATGTCCAGGTGTCAGCCAGTGCTCTCAGAAGAGAGGTGCCTGCAGCCCGGCGGCTCTGCTGCGGAGCCGTTCCTCTCCTATGCTCAGCGTCTCTCCGTGTCTTCTCCCTCTCACCTTTGCACAGGAAGCTGCCGCTTGCTTGCCTTGTCAGACTGAGACGAGGCCCCGAAGTATCGAAAAGGCTAGCGAGGCCGAGAATAAAAAGCCCCAAACCACGTCCTACTTCCTGCTGGTAAAGCAATAGGTGCAGAAACAAGGGTGGAGGGATCAGGTGTTAGTTTGTTGCAGTGCTCAGATATACTGGGACCAATTTGTAACTATTGCTGGGAATCAAAAGAGAGAGAGAGATGGACCTGTCTTCTTGGGACACCAGCTGCCTCTTTCAGGCACCCAGACAAGTCACTCATATTGCTCTCGGGGTCTCTACGCATGCACGGATCACTTTGAAACCGGGGATAGGAGTCAATCTGCAGTAGAAATACCATGGACCCTTTTGTGAAAAATAACTTGAGTGGTTGACTTGAGCAACACCGGAATGAAACCAGCCTCCACATCAGCGCCCCAGTTTCAGAGGATCCATCCTGGGTCAGAGCGGGAGCGGAACGAGGGCAGTGCTAAGTGTGAGCAAGCCTGAAGCACAACCCTCACGCTTGCAGATGGTGTGACACCACAGGAACACCCATCCCACGGCCTCCTTACCCAGCTGAGCACCACACTTGCTCCATAGAAGGAAGAATCACCCTCTCCAACCTAAGCCTCGCAGCTAGTCCAGGCAGGCAACAGCACCCTGCAGTAACTGCAGTGTCTGTTTGGCACCACTTGTCCATTCAACAAGCCAGAGAGCGATGCAAAAAATATGTCCACCTTCTTCCACAACTTCATGTGCTCTCACCTTCACAGGTGGATAACCCCACACAGGTTTGTTTGCAAAGCTTGTTTAGGTTTAGAAGATCCTTTTGCCACAGGCAAGCGTCTTCCCCAGCACACTTTGCCTTCACATCCCAATCCAAGCCAGACACACAAACACAAATCCACGTCCAGATGGTTGCCCGGTTCACAGATAGACATGCACATGCATACGTGTCCACGCACACCTCTCTTTTTTTATGCACAATTATAATTCTCTGAAGTGCAGTGTATCACATTTCCTGTCTGGTCTGAGCTGGCCGAAGACGGCTGCTGGTGTGGGGCCAGATGATGAGAATCTCCTTTTATATACACAGTGGTCACTATGCTCTGTGTCCCTCACCTTTCTCTCCTACAGCAGCTCTAGGCCCAAGCTCAGGTCCGGCAAGCGGGTTTTGCTGACCAAAAGTTGCCAGAGGCTAATCTCAAGTCTCCAGGCAGTTCCTTTTTGAGGACTCTATAATATTAGACCTCAAAAAGAAATAGTATTGGAGCAAAACAGTGATTTGAAGGTATGGGCAGAGCCATTTTGAAGGGGGTTGCAATAGTGGATCTTCATGGCCATTCCTGGGAGAGCATTGCAATTAATCCAGCATTAAGTACTCACTTAGCCAGCTGTCTGGAATGCAACACCTCTTTCCTCATGTGGACCAGGAGTCCGAGGGGTGTCATTTGGATGCTCTTGCTAGTCATTTGAAGACTCTTGTTACGGCTGCTCTCTGTGAGGGCAACTGGGGAATCTGACCAGCCAGCCTCTGTTGAAGAAAAGCAGGGGAGAGGATGGGCTGCATGCTCTCCTGCTTTGTAATCACTGAGGCAGGTGCACCTTGGAGGCTCACACCAGGGTGGAACAGTAATGGCACATATGGGCAGGCCACAGCCCGCCTTTCCCAGGCACTCTTAAAATGAACACAGCTTACCCTGGTGCAGAAGTCCTCAGCTGAAGCAATGAGTAACTCTGTGAGTAACTTCTTGGTATCACTAATTCTGCAGCTGCAATGGAGTATTCATGTTAACCATCATTTTTCCCATTTGTCCCTCAGACTGAGAAATCTGTGCCTTCCTTCAGGCCAGAGATCACTTTGGGAAAACAAGGGTGCAAAGCACCCATTTTCTGTTGTTCAGCTTATCAAGGGGAGAAGAGGGGGAAAAAAAACCACCCACTGACTCTTTTTTTTTCTTTTTCCTTTTTTTTTTCCCCCCAGTGTGTAAGAATCCAGATGAGCTTGGCTGTGCACTGTGATACCTCAAATAGTGGAAGAGGAAAACTGAACACTTAGTTATTCCTTAGAGAACACGGGTGGCTGCTACAGTTGAAAAAAAGGATTTATTTAGTGACCAGTTCACTGGAGACTGTTTTTTCTAGATCTGCGTCTCCATGATAGATTCTCATGCAGATTTTTTTGCTATGTAGTAAGGACTAATGTCACATTGAAGACTTTCCCAACGAGGTTCCTAACGGAGAGCCAGCTCTCCTCTATCCAGCCACCTTTGCTTAACAGTAGTAAGGGACATACCTCTTTGTCAAGTGTGACTGGAATTGATTGTCTTTTCCAAAATTGTGGACAGAGGGGGAATGGTCCATTGGATCAGGTAACAGGCAGCTGAACAGTAATGCATGGCGACACAGACTGCATCACCATGTTTAGTTTCTATTGGAAACACAGTTTTAAAGGTACTAAAAGAACAACTGTGTGGCATAAGCAAGAAAAGGTTTCCTACGCAGGCATGATACGGTGATTGTGTCCGGACGCCTTCTGATAAATACACTTGCTGTCAGCACAGTTTTCAGACTCGATTACCCAAAATGTCGTGCTGCTGAGAATTTTGCACTTTTTATCTCCTTTACACCGACATCATTAGGAATGGTACCATGTATAACGTGAGAAGCCAAGCAAACCGCACTGTCAGCGACACGTGTGAGGTGTTCTTGTGATAACCTTCCTGTCCCCATAATGGCGACTGAAACGGGTGAACTCACTAGTCAGCATTGTTGCGCAGTGTCAAAGCAGCAGGTAAATGTAGGGTGTTGGAAGTTTGGTTAAAGGGGCTGTTTGGGCCAGATCGGTGTTTCAGGAGCAATGTAAGTTTTAAAAATCCTCAAGGCTGGGGCAGGTAGCTTATGTGCAAGCTCATCTTTTTCCCCCCAACCCTGCTTTCATTAGAGAAGAGCGGTGCTCCTGAAACTTCTCATTTTCAGCTGCCTGTCCACTGAGGGTCTCTGCAGAATGGCAGAGGTCAGCAGGAAAACAGAGTGAAGAAGTGTGAAGTGCAAAAGTATTGCACGGTGTTGAATTATCCCACGATTCATCAACTCATTAGCTGTCGTTAGGCTGGGCACATCCCTTCCCTTTTCCGGCACACATCTGCGACTGGAGCCCCAGGCTAACTGGGATGCCTTGCCTATGGTTTACAAGCCGCCCGGCTCACCAGGGGTGAGCTCAGTGAAGGGCTCAATAGATCCATCTGGGTGTCCTGTTCTCGTGGCTCTCTGGAGTCCAGCAGTGGGAAGGGTGCAAAGCCACAGGTGAGAGCAGAGATGCCCTGATGGCCATCTGAGTTCGCTTCCTGACAGGATACACTGTGAAGATCTTTAGACACTCTGTAGGTTATTTTTGGTACTTTCCAAATAATGTTGTTTTAGCTATAACCTTTACATTGAATTTCCTGCCGTTCGTATACGTGCGCTTCTCAAAACTCCGACGTTGTTCTGTATCTGCTGTTATTTTCCCCTTAAAATGTGGTTCTACTCCGAAAAAAGTCTGTAAAAATGGCCCTGCGGGGAACCACTGTCTAGTATATCAGTGAGCTCTTTATTGAATTTGTTCACATTACCAGTCCAAAAGAGGCTTTTCTTTGTATCAAAATGACAATCTTAGGCCAATGTTAAAAAAGTTTTTTTCCTCCTGCTCCATCATCCCTAGGAATATTGCTGCTATGGGCGAAACACTGCCCTCGGGTTAATCTCCATTGTCGTGGTTAAGTGGAGAGGCATTTAAGAAATGGAGTTTAAGTTCTGGGCTCAGGTAGCACAATGGAGTAACCACGCCAGCCAGCAAGAGTTACACAGCAGATGATATTCCTGCATTTCTTCCCTTTCAACTTCTGTCCCCCCAGAGAGCATCCTGATAGATCTGCTGATAGAAGCAGAAGACTTCAAATATACATGTTATATACAAATATACACAAAATGTTCAGAAGTGGGGATTCCATAGCCCTGCAGGATATGGAAGAACACGGATAAATATGGTCAGAAGCTGAGGCATTTGCAGGCACTTTCACCCGTGGCAAGCCTGGGGCCACAGGTGGGAGGGGATGGGGGAGGTGTTCACTTTCACTCCCTGAAGGTGCTGGTCACAGGCCCAGAGAGGGGGAAAAAAGGGTGGGAGGGAAGCATGCTATTTTTGAGTAGTTTCACTTTTAGCCTGCCTGGCTGTGAACACGTAGCTATGAACTCATAAGCATGAGCACAGGACAGTCACGAGATACCCCCACTCAGGACCTGAGCCCCAGCTCCTTGTGAAGTTTGGATAGAACTAGACAGTATCAGGACTTTGGTCTGAAGAGCTGGAGCCCACGCAGCAGACTCAAGGCTTCAGAGAGCTTCTAGGTGGGGATGCCTGCCTCCCTGATGGGTGCTTGTGGTGCCACAAGAGCTCCCCCAGGGAGAGACTTCAATGAGTCCCTCCCTAGAGGCACTCACTAAAGACCTGGGCTATCACTCTGGGCCTGGCACTCTGTGTCCCTCAGTACCCTTGGGGTCAGCAACCTAGCCCAAGGTTGCCTATGCCCTTGTCTGAGCCTGTGGACTGATTGTGTGAAGCACAGCAGGCGTTTGAGCCCCCACAGTGTGGGAAGTGATCTCTGTCAGCTGAATCGTGGCGTGTGTGTATGGAGATGACCTTAGCCTGGCACATCTGCGATGGAAAACTTACCACTGTGAACTGGAGGGAAGGCAGCGTACCCTTGGGACTGTCAACATGTTTGTACAGCTCTCACATCCTCTCTGTGTCTCAGTTTCCACAGCAGAGAAAGGGGCACAAAAGACACCTTTCCATCTTCTTTAAGAACTGAGATTCACACACCAGGCACCGAATCCTGCATCGCACACGGGTGTTTACTGCCCAGGTCTGTCATATTGACTTCTAGTATTAAAACACACCTGTGCACGTCCCTGAGGGTTCCCCTGGCACTGAAGGCTGAAGATGCATGGCCAGAGTGCTGACT